CTGGCGCAGGGTCTTGTATTTGTCTCGGCCCAGTCGCATGTTCTCAGCATGGATCATGTCATTGGCAGTCTTCTTGGACTCATCAAGGGCATTGGCCAGCTCTGAAGTTAGGGCTGTACCTATCTTACATCCTGCTTTTGGTACTAAGTCATGAAAATCTGGCACGTATACCTTATGTTTACAATACATCTTATTTGGGACCACCCACATTTCAAGTGCTCAGCAGTTACATGTGGCTAGTGGCTGCCTAATTGGGTAGCAAAGGATCTCCACACGCCACCTTTCCTTATCTAAAATTCGTATGACTAGAAATGTTGGTGAGATAGAACAACAAATATTGGAAGTGGCATAAACATGTGGAAGTCAACAAATGACTCAGCTCTGAGAACAATACATGTAATGGAGAAAGAAAAGAAAAAAATAGAAAAAATTAAAATTTGAATTTCTGAAGGAAAGGAAAACACGGCAAAGTGAACATTGATTGGCCAAATGTTTGACTAAAAATGTAAGCTTTAACACAAAAATAAATGTAAATGAGCCTTATAGAGTTATTCCTTATAAAGATAGCTATAATACGAAACCCTACGCTCACCACTTTAAAAATGAATGAAATTTCTTTTCTAGAATATCTTTTAATGTTAGGGATATATAGGCATAAAGATAAGATATGGGTAAAGAGATGGCTGCCAATAGAAGTTCTTAACTCTGCATGTCAGAATCATCTTGGGAACTTTTAAAAAAGCGCCAAGGCCTCACTTCTAAAACCTTCACTGGACGGCTCTGGGGTGTGGCTGGGCACTGACACGATGCGCAGCGCCGGCGGAGGGGCCTCACCGCGGCAACCTGCGGGCTCCCTCTCAGGGCCCCTCCCCTGCCCAGGGGCTCCCGCCGTGGCCGAGGATGTTAGTAGCATGATTTAAGGAAACCTACTCTTATGAAACATGGAAGCATCTATTGGTAATCACAGGTTCAGTCAGCAGACATATGTCACCTTGCCCGGGGCAAGAACGTGCACTTCCTTATTCAGCAGTCACCTTAATCTTTACTGTTTGGAATCGTGCCTCTCCTGCTTAGTTTTAACACTAAAGCCGCCAAAAGATTCTACCCAAGTCTAACCACAACACCTATTTCTTAAGCACTTTCACATATGACAACAGATTGCAGATGCAGAAGATTGGTCTTGTGTTAAAAGAAATGGGAGTGACAAAACAAAAAAAGATGAAATTGAAGAAAAAGGTTACAAAGAAAGGGTTTTATTTCTTTAATTATTTTGTGGTTTAAGTTTACAATGTCCACCATCGCAGCTTGAACAGTGCTGAGAAGGTCAGTGAGTAATGCTCCAGGCACTGAAAGTACAGTTATGTATGTACAGGGTCCCGCACAAATAACACCCGTTTTTTATTACAAAATCTTTTATTACAAAATCATAAGCATGTAATTTTGTAACATAACAATATCACCATTTACATTTTAGATGAAATGTTCAAATTAGAACTCTAAATTGTTACGCCCATATTATTACCCTACCAGCCACACTCAAGCAGGCGTTACTTCTGCTGGACCCGGTATATTACATACAAGTCACATATTTATTATGTTATTATGTTAATACTTCTATAATTGTATAGAAGCCCTTCCCATATAAAAAAAAATAGTGAAGATATGAGGCCACAAAGGTCACACTTACACATGGCTTTCTGACTGGGTAGAAGTTTAATTTCGACCTTTACTTGCCGTGGAACCCTGGACAAGTTGCTCCCTTGCTAGGTCTTAATCTCTGTTTCTAAAGTTAGGCAGTATTGCCCACACCTTGGGGTTTTATGAGCGTTATATGTGCAAGCACTGCAACCCACACATGGCATTGGCTCAATAAATATGTATTGAATCAGAATGTAGCTGCCCACCTTCTTTGCTTCTGAGCCCAGAGAGAGGGAGACCTGAAGCCCAAAAGAAAAATTAATTGCCCAAAGTCACACAGTGGCCACTTACATAGACCAAGGTTTCCTGAATAGTGCTTTCGTTGTGCCCCCTCCCCTCAGCAGCCTCCTCCCGCGCCCCCTCTCCCTCCAGGAGAAGCCGACGAGGGCTCCTGCCGGGCATGGATCCCAGGTCCAAGACGTTCTGCCAGGAGCACGCAGGGAAGCCCACCCCAGCGGGACTCCCCTAACCCCCTCCAGGCTTTCTATTTTATCCCTGGATTATGACCCATAGGTTCAAGGGTAGACCCAAAAGCACTTTCCTGATTGCCACAAGGTTAAGTATGCATTAACTGCTGTCTGAGATGAAGTTCCCTAGAGGCAGAACCTGAGATGGGGATTCACATGTAAGCGGTTCTTAAGAAAGTACTTGGGGGGAGAAACTGGTAAGGGAAATGAGATGCAATACAAGGAAGTGGGAAAAGCCACACAAGGGTGGGACCCTCACCCCCTGGTCTCCAGGGAAGCCTAAGGCTGCAGATTATCCCTCAGAGTTTGTTCAACTTGAGACTGGGGTGCTGCTCTTTCTTACTCCTCAGCATTGAAAAATTGGCTCTAGTACTCCAGGGGCAGTGCTTGGGAGAAGGTGGCAGGTGCGAGCTCTTAGAAGCAATGTACACAGGAGCTGGGTGTGAGCACAGGAAGACAGGGATAGTCTGGTCAGAAACCACCAGCATCCTCAACAACCACCGGATCCAAGGACTCAAAGCTCCCTGGGCTATCTCAGATCTGAGTCCATTTGATATCTCCAACTTCTGAAAACTGGAAAGTGAAAAGCCAGTTTCCATAGCCTGAGTACATTCTGCAAAGACCACCATCCCAGCCACAGGAATTGTCTGATGACAGGAATCAGCAAAATTTGACAGATCAAGCTCTTCTGGTAAACTCCCTCTCAGCAAGGATACCTGTTGCTGCTTAGTTTGAAAATTTAACAGACACTGTGCTAGGCTCAAAGGACATAGATATGATCAAGAGAGGTGTTGTTTAGGAGCTCCCCATAGTAGGTAATTTACTACTAAAATGAAAAATCTTGCCTGATTTTAATTGAATCCTAAAGAATACTCCATCTCAATGACATGTGCTTCTCTCTTCAATTTTATAAGATCAGCAACAATGCTTTTTAAAACATCACACCATACTGCATTACAGAGATGCTACCACATAAGGACTCAACAAAAAGCTAAATGAAACCACAAGAAAGTAACACTAATGTTACTTCTAATAATAATGACAATGTTAGCTAGCACATGTGGGAGACATGTGGTCATCAAGTTCCTGAGTATCTGATCACTAACATTGTAATGAATACATATAGTTTTTCTCTATGGGATTGTTTTAGAAAATGATGTTAAGTGCATGGTGAAGAAAACTGATCTGAACCTAAAACCATAGTTATAGACAGACACTGAAAGGGTGATCCTGGGGTGACATGGATAAGCCATAAAGACGTCTGGGACCACGTGGTTCATTTCCAATGTTAGCAGGTTTTGAATTGTTGCCATTGTAGTACGGTGTTTAAAAGCATCGGTTTTATACTCTGAGAGACTTTGTGTCCTGGCCCTGAATAATTCCGCGGTCTTAAGCAAGTTCTTAAGAGGTGGTGACTTTTGTAAGCCAATGCGGTGTGGGGCTTTGCGCTGTTCTGTTGTATATCTTGACTTTCTCAAGTCTTGCAATTTTGACTAATTCCCTAGGAACATTTGATAATCAGTCTCATTACCCTGAAGTATCATCTCATATAAAGTGTGTTAAAAATATGTCATTACAGAATGAATTTGAACTAATGGCTTAGCATAACTTTTAATGTTTCTCACATTACCAGTTAAAATTTGTGGCACTATCTGAACAGTGATAGACATTGAGGCCTCTACCTGGCGGCCATACGAGTACTTTCGTATGAACCACTTGCATGTGAATCCCCATCTCAGGTTCTGCTTCTAGGGAATTCAATCTCAAGCAGTAGTAAATGCACACTGAACTCCGGAGCAATCAGGAAAGTGCTTTTGGGTCTACCCTTGGCACCCGTGGGTCATAATCCAGGGATAAAATAGAAAGCCTGGAGGGGGTTAGGGGAGTCCCACTGGGGTGGGCACCACCAGGCGCCGGTGGCTTCCCTGTGTGTTCCTGGCAGAACGTCTCGGACCTGGGATCCATGCTTCTCCTGGAGGGAGAGGAGGCGCGGGAGGAGGCTGCTGAGGGAGGGGGCACAACGAAAGCACTATTCAGGAAACCTTCTATTTTATGTGGTTAATTTGGTTTATGATATTTCCTTTAAAAACTATATTCTTCAGAGTGCCCAAATAATTCAAAATGATGGAAAGATGATGTTGACTGACAGACTTCAGTACTTGTTACAAATGTACTTTTCTATCTGTCATTATTAGCAAAAAAGAAAAAAAGGGCAAAAAGAAAGAGTAAGAAACAACGGAATGAAGATTTGAAATTTACTTTTTGCCAAGTTTTCTGGAGGTATATTTTTCCTGTTGTTTGTAAATACATATTCTAAAGCATTTCATATTCAAAACCATTCCCATAAATATTTCTTTATTGATTCATGAACTTAAAAGCAATAAAAAGTCTGTTATGGTAGATAATTCATTCTAATATCAGCTTTAAAATGAATACAAAATTCTTATCACTATCACTTGATATAGTAATGTGTCAAAGCCTCTCTAGCAATATTCCCCAGAAATTACCAAATTAAATAATTCAAGTACTATGAAACATCTGCCATATATACAAGTGTACCAGTTCTAAATGGTAGTAGGCCTATAAATGGAAAGTAGCAAATGGTACGTCTGTGTTCCACAAAAGAAACTCCAAAGGGATTTGAAGTAGAAGTTGAATGTCTACCAGAAGTATTTGCTGAGCATAAGAACCATAAGCACAAAATGGACTTACAGTGCAATTTTTAATAAAGGGAAAAATAAATATATATTTAATTAAAAAAGAAGCCACCTATTGTCAAGACCTGGTTTGTGGCCTCAGATATCTTAAAGATAACCCAAAGAATGTATTTCTTACTTGTTGTCAATGAGCACTTCAGATTGCCGATTATTCACTTGATTATCACTCTTGTGGCGGAACTGAAAATCAAAGTGTTTGTGAAGAAAACATATTAAGTCATACTTGGTCAGAAAAAATAAGGACACTGAAACTACTTTGAGCTCATCTATTTGAATGATCGGTCCAAAATGAGCAAAGCTCATGGTTACCTTGGATCCAGCTCCACCTGCTCTATATCTGAATCATGATCCTTCTCATTAAACCTCATCCTGGGTGTCACCAATGGAGTAAGTCTAGCCAAATGCTCTTCCAATTTCCACACATTTTTAGTTGCTTCTAAGAAGGCAATCTGCCTTTTACTCAGCCACATAGCTCCAGAGAAACCCATACATCAATTTTGATGTCTTCATTCAAATATCATTCATTCTATTTTATGGATTTCTTTGCAGCCAATAAATTACTTGTAACAACATGTACTTTTATTCTTTAGAAATTCTAATTGTTAACAGTGATCTTATCAAGTACTGAGTATTTTAAAAAATCAAAATACAATACTGAACCGCATTTGGTGTAGATTTGTGTTTTTATGCCCAAGTGATCCTATTTCTTATGTATATTCCAGTAATGTAAACATCTTTTATTGCTTAGAGAACCCAAATATTATTAGCTCTCTACTAAACTCATAAATTAGCAGCCATCTAGATAAAACTTTCCAGGTGAACTGCCAAGATCAGATAGTAATAGGCTAAAGTATAAGGTGTTATTTCAACCAATTAGCCTAAATGCACAGATGGACAAGGGGTGGTAGTATCAGGAAACATGAAACTGATTTCATAGATCTCAATCATCAGGATTGGTGCTTTTTCCTTATAAAATGTTCAAAATATTACATCAATATCACAATACACAAAATACTTCAACCAATGCTTCCCTTTTGAACCTCTTTTTCAAACTCATGCCAATCTTTCTGTTCCCAGTGCATACAATTACATTGATTGCCAGGTATAAGTTAATGGGCATTATCAGGAAGAATAAGATATTTGGCATTTGTTACTATGGAAAGAGTTGATAATATTGGTAGAAGAGTAAATTAAGTCAGCCCATCATTGGCATATAACCTCCCCGCCAATGGAACGATCAAAATGGAAGCAATTATTTTGTCTAAGTACATAAATTGACAGGGGCGCTAGATATTTTCCATTTGTTTCTCCATATCTACACCCATCCTTCTCCACTCTTCCCTGTGCCAGAGGAAGCTGGCCTACATTGTCCTTTCCCTCTGGCTTCAGCTGGGTTTGGCCAATAGGTGGCACTGGCAGAGATCAGAGTGCCAGAGGAAAATGAAATTCCCTGGCTTCCTTCAAGCTGGGTTAACAGTGGCTGCTTCCACTACAGGAAGCCCCAGCTGCTGCATGCAACCCTTAACTATAGCTTCAGGTCTTCCTTTGCCCCTTCACACCGAGAGGTAGTTATCGCCATCCATGTTACTATCCCATGCACTTTTCCTCCTCCATACCCTTTATAAATGGTTTTCTCATTATTAATCTTCGTCCAGTCTTCCCCCATTTAGAGTAACATCTGCCAAGACCCTGCCTCATAAAGATATCTCATTGTCGAACCAGCACATATTATCACAAAATAAAAGCATATTTAAGCATTAACTGCAGTAGAGACAAAGGAGACTTAGATTTGATATTTAGTCACATCTGTATCTAACCTGAAAATAGTCCCCTAAATTGACTAGCTGGGCATCACAGAAAAATACCAATCAGTTCGCCACCTGAACTCTGAGCTGCCCACCCTCTGGGTCTTAAGATGAGACCACTCTCACTTCCGCTCAGGCTTTGCCAAGGGGGTTTTGGTATTGAAACAGTTAAGAGTCTGGAAGGACTAGCAGTGGTAATCTCAGGCTGGCTCTTCTTGACAATTTCTGTGTTAGAAATAGATATGAAGGCTCAGAAGGGAACTGGCCAGGACAGGAAGGGAGCAGAGAACAAGCATTAATTGTTTACCCCCTGTGAGGCAGGCTTTGCATCAAGTGCCTTATATACAGCATCCCTTTTTGTCCTTCCGATAGTGCTGATGTCATTGGCTATGTTATTCAGGCAAGGAAATGTTCAGAGAAATGGTTTGCCTCATGTTACACTGATAGAACATGGTAGGGTAAGGTACTTTCTCCAAAGTTAAGTTTCTTCCTTCCCCCCTCCTTCCCTCCCTTCCTCCCTCTCTCTTTCTTTCTTTCTTTCTCTCTTTCTTCTCTACAATTTCATTCTACTATGAAGTATGTCTATATGAATAAGACCTTTAAAGCCAAACTGTGGCAATTTGTGCATCTAAATGAGTACTATTCCTCAAAGATTAGATAATGTGGGGAAGTGAGACATTTATTCCAACTATGTCATTACTTAAATCATTGCTGATTCTTTGACTTGTATTAATCATCAGATAACAAGAGGTTTATATCATATTGACCAAAAGAGCTTCATTCAAACATTTCAAATGAATCTCCATTTTCCAATTCTGAGAGGTCACAATTGAAATTGAGGTTTCAGGACTCCTCAAAAGCAAATACTCACATAGTCATCTGTGGCATCTTTGACAGCTGTCATAGTTATCACCAGGACCAAAGGCACAATGGTGGTAAACCAAGACAAGGAGGAAATTTCAGGAATCAGCTGAAACAAATATTTTAAACACTTTAGGGCTTTTCAATTTAGTAAATATAGCTTCCAAACGTTGTCATTTAATTTTATAAGACTTGCCAGAAATTAATGGGATTTTATTCATTTCTTTGTACAAACGTAGGATGACTTTTCATAATTTAAGTGTTTGCATTCGGCTATAGACACATGGCATAGAAGTATCATTGCATCACTTTTCAAACTGCCCAAAAAAAAAATAATTTTCATAACAATTTAAGAAGTAAGCTTCTTGAAATCATTCACAGATGATGATCTTTGCCCAGGTAATAAACATCACCTGTCTTTTCTCAGTTTCTCATCTCAACTTTTAATAACTTTACCAACTCCTCACCAATTCCCAAAAAAGATTCTTCAAGCATCTACCTTGAGCCAGACACTGCACCAAGCACTTTTCATATATTATGTCATTTGATCCTGAGAGGAATTCATTGAGTTACACTCCATACCAGCGTTGTTTTACACAGTCCCATGGGGTTTGTATTCCATGTAAACAGCACCCCAGTGCAAAACACAGAATATATCGTGAATGGTGCCCCAGAGTCAGGAAAAGCTACAGCCCTGGGTATCATTTTCCCATTGTATAAGTAAGTATCTGAGAGGTCAAGCAACTGGGCCAAGGACATAGACTGATAAAATTTGAACCTCTGTCTATTTAATTCTAAAGCCTTGTGCCTGGTACCTCCAAAGCCACCCACCTGAGAGACACATCATGACAGTTGACATGACTCTCTTAGACTGGTGGCTTTCAAGTGGGGTGCAATTTGGAGCTGCTTCCGTGCCATCAGGCAGGGAAGGGCTGGGTGGAGAAGGTCAGTTTTTGGAGATCAGGCCCCATTAAAACAGCTCTAAACTTAATGGATTTTGTATGATAGCTGCCACATAAGACTTAAAAAACAAACAAACCTCAAAAGACTCTGAGGTTCCAAGAAAAACATTGGACAAGGTGCCATAAAAGCTGGATTCTAGTCCTAGTTTTATCATTAACTTGCGGTAAAATCTTGATATATCATCTAGTGTTTCTATGTCTTATTTCTTCATCAATAAAAGAAAGGAGGCTAGACTAAACCATCCCAAAGGTCCCTTCTGGATATAAAATTCTGTGAACAAAAGCCTTTGACCAGAAATAAGAAAGCCATTAGAGAAATGAGCTCAAAATTCTGGAATGGTATAAAGGATTATATGAAGAAACCAAAAACAAATTCACAGGGAGACAAAAAAAAGAAATCTAGGATTCTAAAGTCTCTTCAATAAATTGTAAATTGTACTTTCACTACTTTTTTTTCCTGTTTAGCATCCAGTTTTGTTTTTTTTTCAATTAACCCTTATTTTCTTAGGAAACTATGCAAACCCTTATACTTTCAGTCCATGTAATTTTGGTGTACTTATTCCATCCTGGCTCCAGGTTTTGGCATGTGATCTAGGTAAAGACAATCATTGAGTCAAATTCCTGAGCCACAGTGATTGGTTTAGAGATAGAGGTGTAACTCAGTGTAATTCAATCAGAGCTAATGTCCCTCCCTCTCCTTCTCTCTCTCTCTTTTTCATATGGGAGTTGGAGCTGGGAAAATAAAAATTTAAACATTTTGGGGTCCACCAGGTAGAAAGGGCCGGCCAGAGAATGAAGCCAACATGAAGGAAAACAGAGGAAAGCGATGTCCCATTCTGTTGAAATAGTTTGCCCAAGAACCCAGTCATACATTACATGAAAAATACTCATGGACATATTCCCTTTTGCTTTACAACGAGACAGACTCACAGAGTGCAGGCAGATCGCTGCCAGGGGGATTTGGGAGTCTGGGTGGGAGGGGTGGGGGAGACTGAGCAAAAAAATAAAAGAAAAAAAGTAAGGAAAAAACTCACGGAAATGGACAACAGCGTGGTGACTGCTGGTGGGGGGACAGGGCTGGGCAGGAGGTGGTGGAGGCTATGAGGGCATAAGTGGTTATGGATGGAAACTTGACCTGGGGTGGTAAATATGCAATGCAGTGTATAGACAATGTGTTGTGGAATTGTGCCCCTGAAACCTGTATAATTTTTCTAACCAGTGTCACCCCCAATAAATTTAATACAAAAGAAAAAAAGAATTTAGGTTCCTGTCCTCTGCAACCAAAAGATTCTTAATAGAAATAATTATTCAAATAAAGAAAAATAGTTCTCCAACAATAATCTAGACCACGCGCATTTAATCTATCTTCTTACCTCCTATAATTAGCACAGATTTCAGCACATTCTGAATCTACCAGTTTAGTGTGTTTAAATTGCCCTAAAATAAATACTACCTGTAACGGGCTAATATGAGTTGTTTATATGTATGTGTATTCTTTGATTTAGGCCTTTGCCTTTCTCAAATATCAGTAAAAGCCTAAATTCCAGTTAGGCCCAAATTTTAGTCAAATGGGAGGAAAAAAGCAACATATCTAACTACCAATTAACCACTAAAAACTAAAAAAAAGTCACTCAACTGTACTAACATATAGCATACATCATTTATTTTATATATATGTAAAATATGTTAGTGTTCTTTGATGCAAATGAAATTTGCCAAAGTAAGTTCCACAAATTACTACTCAGCTAGACTTGTTGTCTTCACTCTGGCAATATCTATACTGTCAACATGAGAGGGAGATAAAGAAAGGAGGGAGGCCATGAGCAGTAATTATTAGGCTCTGGTTTGGTTCAAATAAAGTGCAAGACTGCATTTGAAAATTACCTCGGTGTTTAAAATGATGAATGTTCTAGTTTTTACCCATTCCTAGCCCTCCCACATTTGTGAAGAGAAACAGCAATAATATAAAAAATCTGATAAGGATGGTTTTACCTAATCATGAACATTTAGCTAAGTGAATTAACTTACTTTTTCAAATTATATGAATACTTTTAACAAACAGATCATGAAGAAATACAACATAAACATTACCTGTAAAATCAGAAGAAAAAGGAAATAAGCATTTGCCACTCTTTGGAACTGTTCAAATAAATTAATTGGCAAGAAGGTGAGAATGTTGTACTTGGATGTATGGATACGATTATCCTGAAAAAGAAATAGCATCATGTTAGTTAGGGGCTAGGCATTATTCATTATCAGGAATAGCTCAAAAACTTACAAGGCTGAGCATGCGTTATACAAGAGCAAAAAATACAAGCCAGTTATCTAAGAAATTTTAACCTCTATGTAGCCGTGGCTCAAGGCCTTCATTTTTCCCAAGATGACATGCTCTAGGTAAAATTACTGTTCAATGCCATAAAATCATCTATGACTGAAAAATGTATCAAATGCTAAGGTTTGCCCCTGAGACTTCTTTTACATGTATGTATTCATTCATTTGGAAAATGTTTGAGCACCTACTGTGTGCAGAAACTGAATTCATGCTGAGGCCCATGAGGTTGGAAGGAACTTTGGGTATCATTTGATCCATGTTGCTAAAGCATGGTCCTTTTGATAACTCTGACAAGAGGTCCCTAGACATGTCTTTGAAAGTCTTCTGTCATGGGAAACTAACCACCTTGCAAGGCAGCCTGTCTCCATTTCAGAACGGAGATTGCAAGAAAGGTTTTTATGATGAGAAACCCAAATCTGCCTCCCTATAACTACTTGACATGTGCCACATTCCATTGCTGGAGTAACCTAATCCAAATCTAAGTGCTTTGCATATTGACAAACTTCAGATTTTCCAAAATCACTCCTGAAGCTCCACTAAATCTTCTCCGCTTTGATCCAGACATTCCCAAACCCCTAAGGCATTCTCCATGACTTACTTTATAGACATCTCTTCCTGATCAGCGTCCTCTAGATTTATTCCAATTTCTCTGCATCCCTCTTAAAACATGGTGTCAAGGACCAAGCACATATTAAAAATTCAGTTCAACTAATCCTGGTACAAGAAAGTCTTCCATGTTCTGTGTTCTGGTCAATTGCATTAACATGACTTAAATTTCATTACCATTTTGGCAGTTGTAGCTCACTATTTATTCATATCGAGTTTTGATGAACTAAAATCTCTGGATTACTTCTTCATAAATTACAAATGAATCAGGTCTCCCCTTCCTAAACATATGCAATTGATTTTTTTTAAATACTGATGTATAAGACCTTTCATACATTCCTATTATACTGGCCTAATAAAAATATTTTCTCCTAAGTGAACTATCCCAAACTATTAAATATTCCTCCCAGCTCTGTGTCATCAAAAAATTTCAAACACATGCCTTTTATTATTCTTCTAGGTATCCAACCTGCGGCCCATGGGCCACATGCAGCCCAGGATGGCTATAAATGTGGCCCAACACAAAATCATGAGGTTACTTAAAACATTATGAGATTTTTGTGTGTGTGATTACATGTCACAATGTATTTAATGTGTGGTTCAAGACAACTCTTCTTCTTCCAGTGTGGCCCAGAGATGCCAAAAGGTTGGACACCCTGTGAAAGCCATAGACTGTTTATTGAAAAGGACAGGACTATAAGTGTCCTTCAATGGATGATTAGATAAAGAAGATGTGGTGTGTATATATATATATATATAATATATATATACATATATATATATATATACATATATATAATATATATATACACATATATTATATATATATAGTGTAATACTACCCAACCTTAAGAAAAGATGAATCACTGCTGCTTGCAACAACATGAATGGATCTTGAGAGTATCATGCTAAGTGAAATGTCAGACAGAAAAGAACAAGAACCATACAATTTCATTCACGTGAGGGATATAAAACAAACAACAAAACAAATAAACCCATAGACACAGACAAAAGAAGGGTGGTTACCAGAGGAAAACGAAGGTGCAGGAAAGATGAAGAGGGTAAAGGGGGTCAAATATATGGTGACGGAAGGAGACTAGACTTTGAATGGTGAGCACACAATACAATGTACAAATGATGGATAATAGAATTGTTCACTTAAAACTTATACAATGTTATTAACCAATATCACCCCAATAAATGGAAATGCATAAAGCTAAATACCTCCCTAAATTTTAATTAAATAAAGGTTTGGCAAACTACTAGAGACCTCTGCACAGATTATTAACATCTTTTTCAAGTGTTTATGTAAAACATACTAAGTATGTTTTATTTAACCATTTATAAATCCACCTAACTATACTCCCAGGAGGCTTAAATCTGTCTTACCTGTAAAGATAGCATGAGAAATTTGGAGTTTTGTTGAAGTTCAGAATCTGCATGCCCAGGGAGTTTCCATCCACTGATATTTTAAAACTGCAGTTAGTTGGTGTGCCTTGTTTTAAGTGAACCTACACTGACTGCTACTAGTCATTCATACTCTTTAAAGAAGTCATCTGTTAAATGGCCATTTTTAACATTTACCAGGAATCAATCTGTCCAGTTCTGTGCAGTAAGTTGTGGGAAAGTAAGAGAGGTGTCAAGAGAAGAATTTCCAGCTTGGTTGGTCTGATACATAGTAATGTGCTAAAGACTGTTCTATAAGTTAATGATGACTACTTTGCAATGAACTATGTATGCAAGAGGTGGCCTGGGACGGAAAGTTGTGCGAATGGTCATGACACTTTTTTTTTATTATTGTCCAGGTATAGTTGTCTCCCTTTCCCCCACCACCACTCCCCCCTCCCCACCCATCCTCATTGCCCACCCTCCATCCTACCCCACTTTGGCTTTGTCCCTGTGTCCTTTATACATATTCCTTGACAACCCCTCCCCTTCTTTCCAATGTTATCCCCCTCTCCTCTTGATACTGTCAGTTTGTTCTTTATTTCCGTGTCTCTGGTTATATTTTGCTTGCTTGTTTGTTTTGTTGATTAGGTTCCACTTATAGGTGAGATCATATGGTATTTTTCTTTCACCGCCTCGTATTTCACTTAACATAATGCTCTCTAGTTCCATCCATGCTGTCGTGAAGGGTGGGGGCTCCTTCTTTCTTTCTGCTGCCTAGTATCCCATTGTGTAAATGTACCAGAGTTTTTTGATCCACTCATTTACTGATGGGCACTTAGGTTGCTTCCAGCCCTGGGCTATTGTAAATAGCATTGCTATGAATGTACAGTGCATAGGTTCTTTTGAATTGGTGTTTCAGGATTCTTAGAGTAAAATCCTAGCAGTGGAACAGCTGGGTCAAAAGGCAGTCAGTTCCATCTTTAGTTTTCTAAGGAAATTCCATTCTGTTTTCTACAGTGGCTGCACCAGTCTGCATTCCCACCAACAGTGCACTAAGGTTCCCTGTTCTCCACAACCTCGCCAGCACTTGTTGTTTGTTGTCATGACACATTTTTATAAAGGAGAGACTTGGAGAAGATAATAGGGAAGAGGAAAGCTAAGGAGAAAAAGTAGTTACGTAAAAGAATCACATATTCCTATTTTGGTTTTATATCTTTCCTCTAAGTTGCAACTAAAATAGAGGTTAAGCCTGTATCTTGCAAAAAGGACAGATTGAACATCAACTGTGACATTCAAAACCATGGCAGGAATTATTAAAAAACTGTCCTAAGAAATTGAATTCAACATAAGTGAACAGCTAATTGTGTGGTATAAAGCGATAATGCCAAATGGGGACTGTGACAATTTTCTCTTATTTGCCTAAACTAAAGCAATGATTGTGTTTGTTCTACTGGCTCTGTTGTGACTTAGTCACAGATGATGCAAATCCTCACAGTTGTGACTGAGAACAAGGAGTGAGGGCTCCCCCTCCTGGACACTCCGTGGACCCATTTACCTATGTTTTTCAATTGAAAGGAAAACATGTTTTCATTTCCACTGTCCTGTCCAAGAATATGAGTATTGTTAAGACCTTAAATTGGGCAAATTAATATTCAGTCATTTCACTGAGCCAGCCTAAAGTCAAATTTTAGTATAGTTCATTCCGTAATACAACACAGGATATCTTCTTCACCTTTCAATCTTACCTTTTCAATCATGGACCCCTCGAAACATCCCAATCCAGAAGACAAAATGAGGAAGACATGCATGAAGAGGAAAAGGAAGAGACAAAGTAGAAAGGAATACATCCGGGGAATCCATATAGCATCTTTAGTGCTGATAGAAGCCAGGCTGGAAGTCATGGCTTTAGTTTGTTAGGTAGGTGAGCCAGTTAGCTGACCCCATGATGAGGTAGGCTTAACCACACAGGGAGAGGCAATGCCAGGCCAGGGCAGGCCTCCCACGTAGGGAAAGAGCCTACTCTCGAGGACCATCAGAGACGACCTGCTTCCTGTAGGAAGCTCACTTCCTAGAGGAAGAGGGCAGAGGTAAGTGGTGGCGGCCCAGGAATTCCTCTGAAATTGACACATGACTCCACCTCCCATGGGCCAGGGTAGGAAAAGAGGTGAAGAGAGAAGGATCACCCCAGTAGAGACCCCTCCACCTAAAAAATAACATCAGGATAAGGAGAAAGTATTGCTCCTCTAAAATAAGTCAGTATGAAGGCCCTGAAATGGGCAGATGGCACACTTGGGGACTGCAAAGATTAACTAAGAGGCTTTACTACAGACATCAGCACAGAGGCAAGGGAGCGAAGTTCCTTGGAAGCTACACTTTATTATAAGTGAAGAGGGAATTACTGAAAGGTTTTAAGCAAAGAAATAACTTGACAGATTCTAATTTTATAACATTACACCAGCTACAAGGTGAAGAACAAACTAGAAAAGATGCAAAAATAGATGTGAGAAGACCAATGAGGAGGTCTTTGAATTAGTCCAAGTGAGAAATAATGGGTGGCTTGAACCAGGGTGGTGGTGGAGGGAATTATTATTATTATTATTTATTAAGGTTTTACTATGTGTACTGTTCTAAGAGCTTTATATTTCACAACTCATTTTATCCTCACACTATCCTTATGAAATAGGTACTAATATCGCTACTATATATAAGGGGAGTCCCAGGTTCAGAGAGATCAAGTAATTTGCACAGAGTTACAGAGATTATCAGTGGTAGAACCAGCATCTGAACCCAAGCGTTTTGCTCGCAGCGCCTGCTGTCTTCACCACTGATGCTCCCCCAATTCGATGCAAAGCAGATGTTTCTTCTGCTTTCAGAGCAG